TGCTCTGCTGGACCTCATACTTGCCAACATGAAAGAGCTTGTTGGGGATATGAATGTGTCCTGGGTTCAGCTGGGATAGAGTTAATTTTCACAGGAACCTGGGAGGGGGCACAGCCAGGATAGCTGACCTGAACTAGCCCAGGAGCTATTCCATACCATGTGACATCATGCTCAGTATATAAATGGCGAGGAGGCTAGGGGGGGCTTTCAGTGGGGGAAGTGGCCAAGGGTCAGGTTCCGGGTGGTGAGCAGTTGCACTGTGCATCACTCGTTTTGTATATTCTTTTATTAGTACCCTTGTTGTTGTTGTTGTAACTTCTCTTTTTGTGTTGTCCCAGTAAATTGTCCTTCTCAACCCACAAGGTTCTGATTTTTTTTTCTTTTCCCCTTTCTGATTCTCCTCCCCAGCCCACCGGAGGGAGGGGGGTGGGGAGGAGTGAGCGAGCGGCTGTGTGGTCCTTTGTTACCGGCTGGGCTGAAACCACAACAGAAGGTCAAAGGCAGCCTTAGCTGCAGTAACCATGAGATGGTGGAGTTCAGGATCCTGAGAAGCAGGGCAAAAAGTAAGATCACAACCCTGGACTTCAGAAAAACAGGTTTTGGCCTCTTCAGGGATCTGCTTGAAAAAGTACCATGGAATAAAGGCCCTGGAGGAAAGAGGGTCCAAGAAACCTGATTGTTATTCAAAGACCACCTCCTTCAAGCCCAAGAGCAGTCCATCGAAATGACCAAGAAAAAATGCCTGCATGGATGAACAAGAAGCTCCTGGAAAAACTCAAACATAAAAAGGGAGAATACAGAGGGTGGAAGCAGGGACAGGTAACCTGAGAGGAATACATAGACACTGTCCAAGCATGCAGAGACATGGTTAGGAAAGCCAAAGCCCACCTGGAGTTGAATCTGGCAAGGGGTGTCAAAGGCAACACGAAAGGCAAAAGAAAGACTAGGGAAAATTGGGCCTGCTGCTGAATGGACCACAGGACATGGAAAAGGCTGAGGTACTGAATGCCCTCTTTGACTCAAGACTTCTGTGAAGCTGTTAAGTTTAGAACTGTTATTCTTTTTTTACAATAAAAATAGAAGTATAATAAAGGACAGTACAACCTTAACTTGCCTTAAATCTAAAAAAGCCCAAGGCACTATCAGATAAACTAGTAACCAGTATTTTATTTGCCAGCCAAAACATCCATCAGATAAGATTAAACATACCTAAGTAAAACAAATCATTTGATACACCAAAGAAAGATCAACATAATGGCATGTGGAATTACTTTTCCAAACTGAAAATAAGAACAGAAGTTAGTCTTCCTCTGTAATGTTTTGGCTATTTTGTATCTGCTGGAGTGACAGTATGCCATTAGCTTCTCATTATCTATCTCTTTCATTTCTCCAAGTAAACGACATGCTAAAGCAAGGTGTCCTACAGAAGGAGTGCAGTGCTGTGTTTGTGGAGAATGAGCTCATGAAGGCAACAGCACACCTCATGTACAGTTCCAAACACTTTTGAACTAGCACATCTCAAGTGTAGGACAAAAATGCCAATAATTTTTAATGTATTTCAACAACAATGTCAATAGCATCACATTTCTGAAGAACATAAGCAAATGTGAGACCACAGGCCACTGGGAAGATAGGTAGGCTGGTAGCATCTATGTTTTCATTTAAGCCATCACACTCCTACAGTACACAAGCACTCTGCCCAAGCTGTTCAACAAGGTTGCGTTCTAATGACAAAGGTGCTATCCTGCAAGCACAGATTTACTGGAGAGTTAATTTTTCTTCAGCTTCCATCACCATTACTCAACACAATATGCATAATCCCCATCTATGACCTATCAGTAGTCTTCATAAGCTCCCTGCAGGCAATATAATTGAATCCAGCTCCATTCCTGAACACCTACAAAGAATATGCATTAATGCTTCAGCCCTACCCTCAGGCAGAAATTACTCAATCATGAGGCCCCATCAGAATGTCCACAGGATGAGGGTGAAGGGATAAGAAGCTCCACTATTTGTAACTAGTGGAAACTTACTGAGGTTATACAAGAAGGAAGGAGGGCTCCAGATCCCATATCTGACACATCTGCTTAGAAAGGGAACTCTAATCCATAACAGAAGCTCTCCCTAGGCAGTGTAAACCTGTCCTCTTAGTACTAAGTGGAGTGGAATGATCTCTATATACATGTGTTTGCTTTCAAATAATGTGCCAAGGAGCAGTTTGCCAGGACGGCTTCTCTCATCCTTCCCTACTTACTGCTATACCAGCAGGGAAAGTGAGCTGTATACTGCCATGATGATACAATGGAAATAATTATACCCAGCAAAAAATCACCTCCCATTAACAAAATGCTTTCGTATTAAACAATAAGGTAATCCCTCACTAATCAAGTATATGTTCTCATTCAATTTGTATATATAAAAGAGTACAACTACAGTTAATGGACTGCAGTCTATCTGCAATGCTGATGCTAAAAGCCTGACCATTCCTGGTTTTCTGTACTTTTACCACCTCCAGTGCTATTCCTCTGTCTGCATGCAGTTCAAGTTTCTTGTCCTCCTCTTCAAAGGCCTTCACTGTTTAGTCTTTTACTCACCTGGTTTCATCTTAACATACTAATTTTCCTAGTCTACTTCTCGCACAGACATGCTTCTGCCTTCTTTTATTCTACTTATCCTAAGGTGGGGATATACTCAGAACTTATTTGCAAAGCCACAAAGTACTTTCTACTTCAAATCCTCAGTCAGACCTGACCTAATCCAAGAACTGTCAATATAGCCCTACTACTGATTTATCTATGCAGATACAAAGAACTGTGGCTCTTGCAGTTTACAATATTATTGTAATTAGTAACCAGTTGGGTTTTTTTTCAAATAAAAATAGATGAAGTACAATTATCACAAAAGTTTGGATGTCCAAGATTGCTGGGTAAAGACTTGTTATGAACACATAAACTCTGTGACTCAACCTATTTGGACTACTGTGTCTCTTTCACATAGCTGAAACTAATAGAAAAAAAAGAGTCCTCAGGAGCAAGAGTGCCAGCACAAGAGTCTGCTGAGTCACACGGGCTGCAAAGGTTCAATTTCTAAAATTTGTTTCTTCTGAAGTTGAACATAAGGTGTAGCAACATAGTGCTAAATTCTTTATCTCAACTCACGCACTTAGCTCCCTCAATTTGTAACAAAATTTAAATAAACAAAAAAAATAGCACCCTATAAAGCATAAGGGACTTACTTAAAAGATTGATTAATCAGAAATTATACTGAATTTAAGTAAAACAGGCAGGGCCTCACTTTAGAAGATAAGAACACTTGGCATTTCTGTTATCCTTTTGTTAAAACATAGGTCCACAAATGCTGATTAGATGTCTACCTCCTGATTAGGAACCTAGCCTGCAAAAAAAGTCAAGAGAAACCACCCTTGCAATCAAAGCAAGTTAAGAGACCAGGTGGAGAGTAGTTTTTGAAAGGACAGATAGCTGTGTGAATCTGGGGCTAAGCAGTTAAAATAGGCATCCAAAAATTCTGGGTCTTATTTCAAAAAACGTGTAGACACAGCTGCAAATTTAACTAGAGACTTATTTTGCTCTCTTTCATTTCAAACACATCTAGGAATTTGATCAAACATGTGGAAAAAGTACTTAAATCTTTTGTTGCAAAAGAAAATGTACTGGAGTTGATCAGTGCTGTGTACTCACCATAATCCTGTAAAATCACAAGCAAAAATAAGTGCATAAGCAAACTGCAAAATGCATTTGCCAACTTCTATTCAGTACCAGGTTCTGAAACATCTATTCCTTATTTCTGCTCCCTTACATACATAAATTTTAACTTGACAGGATTTCTCACTTGAATGCTTATGATTTACAACATATTTGCCTTCTAATTTACCGGAACTGCCTTTTTATCTTGGGGGATTTAACTAAAGCTGTTTCCATATGTTTTGAGCTCTAAGCTTGAGACCACGGATTTAGAACTGTACAATGTTTTGCTATTGGGCAGGTTGGCATAAATCCCATGTGCAGTGTATATTCACATAATACCTCCAAGGTGCTTCAGCAGGACATCTCCTATGACTCAAGTGAGCAGCATGTAGCAAGATGCTGTTTTCCAACATTATAACTAGAGTCTACACTGAAGAGGTGAAGGATATGTCACTGTTTTGTCCCCAGTAGATCACAACAGCTTTGTGCCAAATCCTACTCACCTTACTCCTTCACAAGAGCTATTGTCTCACATTACTCTCAAACAAAAAGAAGAGATCGACTATTTTTAATGATTCCGTGTTTTCACCAAGGACAGAATTTGCTCCTAGGAAATGCAGACTGAGCCAAATCTCACCTACAGTGTGAGACACGCACACCCAACTCCTGTCTCACACCATGCAGCAGCAAGCCTGCATGTCAGAGTCACAGCACTGTGCTGTGGCCTCTCTCTCATTCTCCAGTATCACCTGCCAGGCTCCGTGGATTACAGAGCTAGGAAGAGGTTTCCACAGTGTCCTGTGGGGAAGTATGCTACATAAGGAGGCTCCACCCTACCCCGTCCTCCTTCTGAGAAAGGACGTGTCTGTATTTCCCCAGTCACATAGGTCTCGACTCAGGAAAACAGAAATTTGAGAGGTCCAACTGTAGGATTAGATAAAGTTCATAGTGACTCAAGGGTGAAACCCTAGCCCTAGTGACATCAACAGAAAAACTCTCACTGACTTGAGGGCCAAGATTTCAGCCCATATCCCAAACTAAAGTGTTTTTTAAGCTGATGAAATTTGAGCTCTGATCCTGTAGGAGACTTACACACCTTTCACTTCACATACTGAACAGTTCAAATTTAACTGAACCATTTATATCAAGTAAAGTGATGCTTGTTGGTAAGTTTTAGCAAGATCCAGTCTCTAATTGTAAATACAACCTTAAGGTCTTACACTGTAGTGAAAGGTTTCAAACAGCACAAAAGCAACTCTGGGGTTGCTTACTTTGCTTTTTTTTCTTTTTACTTACTTTTGTCTGATCATCAGCTTTAAATACATAGCAGATACTTCGCTGATTTGCTGCTCCATCCTTTATCAGACAAGCAAAATAGCTTGGATCGTGGCTGTTGTGAATCAGTTTGTGGACATGCTGTGGCTTGTATTCAAACAAACTTGAACAAATCAAAGGATCCCACTGCTGGATTTTCCCTGTGTCTGGTTCACATCGCAAACTTGCTGGTGAAACATAAAGTCGGATCTGGCTGACGCTAGGTTCTTCTTTGGAAGACTTTGTACTGAGCATCCGGATCTCTGCCACAATCCACGGCAGCATTGACATGGTGGTTAGGGAATGCACTGGCAGAGAACCAACAAGCTGGAGACTGAAACTTGCTGAGAAATCACTAGGTGTTTGACACTTTTTAACTTTGAATGTTATTGGCTCCATTTTACAGTCCTTTAGGGAACCTGGACTAATTCACCAATATTTCAGTTCCATGGAATGACGGTATCTGGACAGTTCCTTTGATTAAGGAACGTAAGAGTTCTGAAAGGAAAAGAAATAGTTATGTAGGTGCTGGAACCCTGTTAAAAATGCACTGTCAGTAACACAAATATTTAATAGCTTAACATCAGAAGAGACATACTGATTATCTACCATGACCTATCTAGCAAGTTTCTCTTACATTGGGCCTTACTGTTTCAGGTCCAGTAAACGTAATAGTACTAAATACATTGCTTGGAAAAAAGTCAGTCCTGATTTAAAAGTTGCTTTACAACCCTTGGTAAACCATCTAATGAGTAAACTCAAAAATGCACATTCTTTCTAGCCTGTTCTGTTTCATGGGCAGGCACATGTGGATCACACTGGCCTATTTCAATCCTATTATCACAGAAAGAACTCATCTGAGCTATTCTGACCTTCAAAACAGCTGAAGTCAGTTCTTGCTGAGACACCTTCACATTTGGGGGGGGGGGGTGGAATGTCACCTTTCTTGTTCATAGGTGGATGATTTTGAATTTGGCTACTAACATGGAACTGTTTCCTTGGGTATAGTTTGCCAAGTGATCATGGGCTGTTACCAACCAGACTTTTGCATTAAGTAACACCCCAGAAATCATTGTCATCTGAGAAACCTAGCAGCAGTCAACTGACTGATCGCTGATAAACCTGTCAGATCACAGAGATGAGCAACAAACCTCACAGCATCCCACTAAAAAACAGATGATGATTCACAATTCATGATTGCTTTACAAGGCCTGTCAGCCAGCCAGGAATGCTTGATGTTTGCCACACTGATATTGTATCTTTATCATTTCTTAAAATATCAAACAGAACCAAGTTACATACAACCCTGTTATACCCAGCATCTACTACCACTACTGTTGCTACATATTAGTAGTTTTAGTAACAAAATCCAGTAACTGCATTTAGCTATCAATTTGGTTTCGCAAAATAGCCTATGAAAACACATAGATGGGCACTTGTTATACTACCATGTTTTAACTCCTCATTAATTGAACCTGGTTTCAGCTGTTACATTATTCTGTGTGAGACTGATGAGAAGCTGACAGGCCTATAATTGCCTGTGTTTAAATACCATGACACTAGTTTACCCTCAGCCTTCAGAGAGTTTCCCATGAAAAGACCTATTAAAAACAACATGAGCAGTCCCAAGAACTCCTTACAAAACATTTTTAATTATATTTGAACAAGTATATAATAAATGGCATCTGTTTACTGTGGCAACAGTATTTCTTGCCTTTGTTCATCTACAAACATGATTAAAAATAGCAGTATTTTTCTCATGAGTTTTCATTAAACTGTCTCCTTTATTTGTCCTTGTAAAAATATTTTCAAACTGAGTTCCTAACAGAGCTTCACCTTGTTGAAAATGAAAGGAAATTTTAGGATTTAAAAAAAAAAAAACCCTTAAAAAGAAATTTCAAGATGGAAATTCATTTTAAACTAAACACATGTTTAAAATGCAACCAATTTGCAAATGTCCAAGTGGGGAAAAATGTTTCTGCAACAACTGGCAAACTGTAAAAACAAGAGAACTGCAGAAACCACATATTTGGGTACATTTACTTTTTGGAACTTCTGCATCTTTTGACAAATGAACTCTGTGGCAACATTACCAGTTCCAAGGATGCCAAACTTAACAAGAGAATCCAACAGTGCAGGTTTTAAAGACACTGTTTGAAGAAATAATCATTAGAGGCAATTTTTTTAAAAGCCTTTTTATAAACCTCTGTGTGCGTGTGTGTGTGTCTGTGCGTGGGAGGTGTGGGAAAAAGGGCCATGAAAACACAGAATTTTTATGCCTCATTTCTATTATACTACAACTCTTTTTCAATTTTTTTTTGTTTGTTTCACAAGCAAGCATGAAAACAACCATCTTTAAGATGAATATAAATGCATTGCATTGTATGGGGTAGCAGCTTCAGGAAGCATTTTTACACCTTATCAACACTGACTGCTAAACACAATTATCATAGTTTTGCATCTGTCAGGAGTAAAACCAGTCTCTTTGACAAACTATTACATGGGGTTTTTTTCCTCCTTAACTGTAACAATGAAAAATAGTTCAGCAACTGCAGGGAAGATTGGATTCATTCGTAACTACAATGGTGTGTAGTCTGAAACACAAAAAAATTGAGTTTTTAGCTTTTAGTGTTCTTGTCATTTAGTGGCATACATAATCATCTCAGGATAAGAAAGCCTAAGAAAACTCCATTCTTCGTTGAAAACAGAACTGAGCTACTGCACCAATGATGGCCTATTAGCCACACACTTTTTGTAACCGTATTTCTCAATTGTGTTTTCTCAGAACTCTTTTTAAAAAAATGCAATTAAATAAAATGCATGTAAAAATACAACAAAGTCACCCTCATTTAAATCGAATTTTCAAGGAAGAGAAGTTTAATTTCAATTACCACTATCTACCGTGCTCTTTTACCCCAAACCTACAAGGCACTGCAGCTTCAAACAGGAATAAGTATCACAATAGAATACATTATTTTGCATGCTAACTCTAAGGACTGAACAGTATATAAAAAAAACAGGTCGATACTCTGTCACACTTCAGCAAACACTGTACTGCTGGAATGTATTTAATATAAATGCAAAGCTTCTTGGCATTCATCTGTTTTTAACAAAATAAACACCTTGCAAAGTCAACAGCATAAATACGCCAATGTCTGCATCTGTTATTTCTAAAGAATAACAGTTAATACTAAATCAAAACAGTTAACTAGAAGTCAGAACGCTAGGGGTTTTTCCTAACATTGAGAGAGGCTAAAAGTGCAGTTTCTCAGAGCACAAATTTAGCAGCATCAAAAGGTCTCCTTATCTAACCCGCATCATTCTGCATGTTACCGTTCTACATGTTTCGTCTCCCTTGTCCAGCCATTCTTTGTTTCCTTGTCCTGTCATCGTTATCTTAATTTGCATGCAAATCCCACCAGAAGTTATACCAATTTCATGCTGCCGGCATTAATGTCCTTTAAGTTTACACCAAGGACTAGGTTTTACTTCAAGACCATAAAGTATTTATGTACATGCTTAAATTAGACATAAAACAGTTCTGTTCATCTCTCTATTCCCAACGATAAAATTAAGCACACGTTATGGCCAAAGAGTGTCTGCGCTCTGAGCCTGTCCATGTCTGCCCTGACTCTGCCACTCAGAATTTTGGCACCTGCACTCATCTCTGGTTGCCACCAATCAGTTCATCCCCTCTACAAATTGGCTCTGCAGGCACTGTATCTGTTTACCATCCATATTAGTACAGTAGGCTCAAACAAGCTTCCTCTTCCTCCCAAGTGTCTGACTAATTAACAGTTTCTTCAAAGCAAATGCTTATTTCACCTTTAACCCAAGAGAGAATAGAAAAGGCATAAAAATAAAGCTGCCCACTTGTTTCCTTCCACCTAAACTTTGATCTTCCCATGACAGCTCTAAGTCCCATTCAGCTCCGCTACTCTGGGCTGTGAGAAGACTGCCAGGCTTTGCTTCACACACAGGCTGAGTGTCTCCAATTCTTCTTCTAGTGCTCACGGACATAATTGGGACAGCTCCTCTTTCTCCCCTCCATCACCATCTTCTGAAGGATCTACATTGCCCTTGCACTCAAAGCTGAGAAGAGCTTGAGCGGCACTCCTCAGCTAACAGCTTTGCTGCTGTCTGAGAAATGTTAATCTTCTCCAAACTGTATCTTCATGTTGCCACTGTTTAACCTGCTTTGATTTAGCTGTATTTGCTCCATCAGCATAAAAACAGCCAGGCAAACTGTAGCACATACAGTGTTTACACAAACCACACTAATAAATCTAACCTCACCTTCTATACTAGTAAACACCAGACTGACTCACTAATGTGAAAGATACACATGGGAACATATGTGTGCTCTTTGTCCTCAACTTCTCTTTCACTGTGATCAACCCAGCCACTTCTCACAGGCGGGATGCAACACTACACTGATAGTCCTGTTCTAGCAAAATCTGATACTGTGTTTAAAAAAATACATATATCGGGCTCTTGTTTACCCAAATTGAATTTAGCTGAATTCTCACCTTTTTAAGTCACCAGAAACTACAAGGGATGCCTTCAGAGAGAAGTCAGGGTGATGGCAGGACAGCATGAAGGGGACACCTACAAAAATTAGTACTTCTGCCATTCTGGATCCCAGGTTCTCCCTGCATGAAGGTACATGCCTAAGCAGCTGTGCATCATGCAGGACAGCATTCCTCAAAACTCACCTTCTCTCAAGAGAGCAAAGACTTTATCATGAGGACGAGGTACAGGCTCTGAGTGCCATTCAGCTAGATGGGGCCAGGTCAGCTCTGAGATTAGGAAGGAGAATCTTGTCAGGTACAGAGAACGGACTGTGTTATTAACCTGGGAGGGTGGGGCACTGGAAATCAGGTTTTGACAGCTGGAGGAAAACCAGGCAGATTTGGGATGGACTCAAACTAATACAGAAAAAAAGACAAAGAAGGGAAAAGATTGTTCTAAACCAAATGAACACACACAAATAAAAAAAAAAAGCAGAAAGAGTGGTGAAGAGTTATCCTTCTTCTGTTGTTTCTTCTGGACTGGACTAAATTCAATACAGATATGTGGCCAAAAGTTTCAGACTCTTGTTCAGAACATAGGTAATTATTGACCTAAGCAATCCTTCACTCTCCTCCAGCTCTTCCCCTGGTTTGGTAGCAGTTGGAGTGCTGGGACCCACAGCAGAACTGACAAGTTTAGAAGACACGTCAAGCAAGGAAGCAGTCAGAGCTTCCACACATCAATGATTAAATGAGGAGTTTGACCTGTGAGTTGTTGAACAGAAAGACCCCAGCTTCCTCAACGTTTGCAGTTCATCTGAGAGACAACTGTGCAGTTACTCCACATCAGGCTGCTGACATGTCAGCAGCGTTTTTTTCTGTAAATTGGTTTTCTTTCTCCCCTCCAAGAAG